CTCTAGGTAAGTTTCATAATTCAATTATTGCTCCTGAGATTTTCCCCATAATAACTTTAGATAATGTAGTGCCACCTGTTTTGCATATTATGTTAGGAGTTGTGTTAAAACTTTATAAGTTATTGTTGAAGGAGTGTAAGACTTTGGATTGTCAAGCTGTTTCGTCTTTGTCGCATAATGAGAATGTGAGAACAAATGAATTGTGGGCTGCTAAAAGCTTTGAATGTTCTAAAACAGCAGACTCTTTACGTTTATTAGGAAATCAATTTGTAGACGTTGCAAATCTACAGACTCGTTGGTTAGCTTTTGATAAAAATATTTCTGAATTGGAATGCCTATCTCTAAACTCCTCTAATAAAAAAACAACCTGTAAACAGCAAGAAAAGTGTGCTAGTATCAGATGTTTAGTTACTAAATATGATTGTAACATTGATTGGGTGCAGTGTGGTACGTGCCAAAAATTGTTCCATCAATTTTGTGAAATTATTGGTGGTTCGGAAAAGAATGTATTGTGTGATATAGAGAAGTATGAGTGTTTAGCATGTCAGGGTGAAGATTTAGAATGTCTTGACCTTTAAATTTCTGAAAAAATTTCCTTTATACGCGCACAGCGCGAAGTTTTAGACGTTGAGTATATTCGATTGCAGATAGAGCGTGAAGACTTAGAAAAAATATCATGGAAAGAAAAAAGTAGCATGGGGACTTATGAGAGGTCTCTTTATAAGGCCCTTGAAGATATGACAGTTGAGCGACAAGCTTACCATGGTAATGTATTTGTAGGTAATCATTGTAAAATAGTATTAAGAAACCACTATAAACTTTGTAGTGTTATTGATGATGAAGCAATTAAAAATAGATTTGTACGTGTGTTTAGTGTTTTTAATAACTTGCAACCTATTCTTTTTAAACAAAAATTTCTTTCTGATGCCGAAATTTCTGAGCTTCATCAATATATAAATTTATTTGCTATTGAGTTTCATGCTTGCTTTCCAAAAGAAAGTATCACGCGAAAAATGCATGAACTCATTTTCAATGTGCCACTATTTGTAAAATTGCATAAAACTATTGGGTTGCTGAGTGAAGAGGAGGGAGAGTGTTTGCATAATAGCGTAAATAAGGAATTAAGGCAGTTGCATTCAGTTAGAAATCAGGAGCAAAAGCTGCATCTTGTTTTAAAACGCTTTGAATTGCACAGCAAAGCTGATAGGAAGCTTCAAGCCTCTAAGGTAAAAAAGTGTGTTGTGTGTTCAGAGCGTGGCGAAAATTCATTTTATAGACAAGGTCTTTGTCTTGTTTGTGGTCATCAAATTTAGTTTAAATGTTTAAAAAGTTAAAAAAAAAATTAAACTTTTTACATTTAAGATAAATTATATAAGATCCTTAATTTACAAATAAGAGAATTCTATTCTGTTTTAATGCCTGTAATGTTTGTTCAAAATAATAATAATTTTTTATTACAATGATTTTATATATTAGGTAGATGCCCATTCTGTTCCTATTTTCAAAAGTTTATTATATCTATGCAATGCCTTTGCTCAGGTTAAAGAATGGAATAAAAGTCTAGCATCAAATCTATAGCTAACTATTTTAATTTGTGATCAGAGCAATTGGTATGTTTGTTGGATATGATTATGTATGTTTATGTAGTTAATTCAAAAAACGTTTTATCCTTTGTTATGTAATATGTAACATTTTTTATATATATTAGATCTCCGTTCAATTTTTATCATCAAAAGTTAGTTCTACCTTCGCAGGACCTCTGCTCTACATACCTCCTCTCTGGTTAAAGAATGGAATATAAGTCTCATTTATCAAGTTGGTGTAAAAATTTAGCTTGATAAATTAAGAAGTTGTAAACTTTATTATCACAACTGCCAAGTTGACCAAATGTTCTTCTGGTTTTAAATGAATTATGTATGAGTCTAGTATCAACTGGGTGTTCAAAGATAGTTTACTGCTTGAAGAACTTATCAATGGACCAACTAATTATAAAACAGTTTTTAATGAAAATAAAAACGAATTATCAAAAGATTTAAATCAGCTATTTGTGTATATTTAAACACTTTATTTTATGTGAGAAGAGATTATTGATACAAGTACCATAAAATAATTCTACTACCAAAAGCTAGGTTAATTCAAAACCTTTAACTCAATTTTGGTCATGAATTATTTCATTAGAATTGATGAGTTTTTATTTATTAACTACCATATTATTAGAACTTTATTTTGTAATGTAATGATTTTGTCAGCGTTCCAAAATAATTTTCTAAATCAAGAACTTCTATATTAAAAAAAGTACTCATTTAACAACTAATCCCCCCTTATAACGACGTTTTTCATAATTTTGCGAAAAATGTGGTTTGCTTTTACAATTCGATTAAGGCTATTTTAGTTAACCTTAAATAATTAAGTAAGGTTTTTTTGTTTTCATTATTGTCAAACGATAAGTGTATTTGATAATAACTATTAGGAATGTATTTTTCTAATTTTTTTTTGATAA